ATATATAATTTTCATCATACAATACACATATTTGATGAATCATACCAATAGTTAAAACTTATAATCCATGTACATCTTATAATATGATTATATTTAAATCATTAGCATCATCTCATAAGCAATTAGGCTGACCATTGGACTATTTCCGGAAGATTCATAAATACTATTCATAACTTAATTCATTTTTATGGTCAATTCAAAGTCTATAAGAAGATAAGAAAATTAAAAAAATAATAATAAACTTAAAACATGAAAGCACTTTGATTTCATTAGGGCTGTCAAAAAAGCTCGTTGTTCGCGAACAGTTCGTGTTCGGTTCGTCAATGAGTTCGTGTTCGATTCGTTCGATAAGTAAATGAGACAAACGCGAATAAATTTTTTTCGTTCGGTTAGTTAAACGAACCAATTAATACATGTAAAACGGACCTCGTTTGGCTAGCTCCTCAAGAACGCTGTTATAGTACTGGACGCCTTTCTCATTAACAGTTCCTCTCCCATCTGCAAAACAGAGCACAAACTCAATACTTCTTGCTCTGCAAAACCTCTCATTTCCAAAATCTCAAAAAAAAAATCAATTTTTTTTCATTATTTCCTACATGGCAGAAGTCTTGACCACGAGATAGAGAACCTGTAGGCTTCAAGCCCTGTATCACTCATGACCTTGATATCTTCCTGAAAGATAAAACATGTCAGTCAATTATCAGAACATCAGGCACTAGAACTTGTATGTTTACCAAGATTGCCAATCTTTGAGATTGTATTTTGTTAAGAAAAATTAATAAAGCAGAATAAGAATGATTCACTTTCGTATTGCTAATATGGTTTATCAGTAGCCATGGAGAATCAACATCAAAGCAAACTATGGCTAAGAATGATGTTATGAATTACCTTGTATTTATGGTAACCATCGGCTGACAAGGCCGTACTATTATCTGGCTTCATGAGAACGAACAAACCAAAATTAAAATTATAATAAAAAAGAGGGCAAAAGCTTAAAATGAAAAGAAAAAGCTTGTTCATAATGTTATAAGAAGCAAGTGTTCCGATAATGAATAATGAAGGCCACCTCCATGGAAGGCCACATCCAAAACGCTTGGTGTTCTTCCATCCTCTGATGTAGCGCCTTCATACTGCACAAAATAAAGTAACCACATTTATTTTTAGTTGGATTCTGTAAGTTAAGGAAATGATAAGATTAATAAACAAAGTGCATGTTATATCGATTAAAGCTGATCTTCTGTAAGTCTGATACCTTTGATTCACTGCTTAAAAATACAAAATAAAGTTGATTTAAGTGGAGCAACAAGAAAATATTTGATCATATTTGTTTCGAGTTGATTTTACTTCAAATAAGAAAACTCAAAATTGAGCAAAAATAATCAGACGAGAGAATTTGATAAAAAGGACCTGAAAAGCGGAAGTTCCAGCACCAAAAACAAAGGTGGAAGGGAAGTCATGGCGGGTAAATTTACTGCAGAAAATCCCACGAGCTAAAAATAACAAAGATAGGAAAAGAAGAAGCAGGACTGATGGAGTAGAGCAAGCAGCACCCTTCATTCTTAGCTACAGCTCTGAGAGCTCAAGCAAATCTCTCAGCAGAAGCAAATATGAGGAACTTCAGGCCGGCAAACATTTATATTTTCCACTTGTTTAGTTAAGCCTTGACGTTGTTGTTTTCTTCTAAAATTGTGCGCTTAAATTTCAGGCGTTTTCTAGAAAAGTGCTTCCATCCAGCAGTTCCTTTTAGACTATTGGGCATACTGCGTGACATATGGAATGACCTTCACATGATGCTGACATTTTGTCTGTTTTGAACACAATGAAGGATGGGCTTGTGAATTCGGCTCTATCATAGAAATAGATTATGGGTTTTGCTTTTTTCTTTGTATTGTTGGATTATTGTGACAAAGTAAATTAAAATATCATGAAAACTTATCTGATGCTAACTTTTTTTTTGTTTTGTAACTTCAAAATATTGATGTGGGGTATTATGTTGTTGGAATCATGTTAGCATAAATTAAGTTATAGTGAGGGTCTATGAGACAAATATAGTTTATTTTTAACACTCTAAATATTTTAATTTTTTGCTTGAAATTTAATTTCTATCTCATTTCTTTTCTTACAAAAAATTATTAAATAAATAAAATTTAGATAGTTGACTTTTTTCCTTGTAAGTTTTTATACCAATAATATTTGAATTTTGTTACAATTTAAATTAATTTTTTTTTATTCATACATACAACTTATTTCAATATGCATGTTACAAAATACAGAAAACAAAGGCTCTTCAATTTATCCCTACTAAAAAACTCTCTCATATAGAACAAGCAGGAATATAATTTATCCCAATTAAAAAAAGAAGAAGAAAGCTTTTCAATTCAATGCTTTGCACAATGTTATGTATACAAGTATTTTGTCCATTTGCATGTTAGAAGAATTACAATAAATAAAAAATATACTTTCATATATAATTAAAAACTTTATTTAATTAATTTATTGCACCATATTGTAATTAATACATCTATTTCGATTTCAAATATATTCTGATTTGAAATGCATCACATGATAATTTGGTTATTTCAAATGATAAATTTATGGAGTAATATTTATAGTTTTCACTAAATTAAACTACTAATATGGGAGGATCAAGTCCACCAAATCTAGCATGACCACCACATTAAGAAACATAAGAAAAAAAGCATTGGGGAATTAACTTTACTATCACAAAATTACTTTAAAAATACATTAATATATCATATTGTTTAAAAATAAAAGAAAAATATATACCATATTCCTTAAGAAAAGACATTAACTTTGTCAACAACATTTACATGGAAATTTTTTTTGTTTGGCTTAATTTTTTATCCTTCATTAATAATCATTGACAAATACTATTAAATTGGATGATTCACAACAATCTCTTGCTGGAATGAACTTTAGATGTATTGGAGATGATGGTTTAAGAAGAGGGAATATGTAAAAAAGAAACTTGAGTATGATTGGCCAATAACAGGCTGAATTGGAAAAATATGCATGTTATTTACTCTTGGAGAAATACATCCAAAAATATGTTTCAGGCCAATATATATATATATATATATAGAAAGAATGATGTTGCCTTCAAATACTCTTGATTCACTACTAGTTGGTGTACTGCCAAATGGTTTAATCACCAAATGGGGTAAGAAGATTACACTGGTGGAGTCTGTCATTTCTTCATTTATTAGTGAATTTCTCAAATAAGTATATGATTTTTTAATATTTTATTGCATTTTATCGATTGGGTCATTTCGATGAAGCTCTAAAATAAATTTAGAAAAAGTATCGATGATTGTATTCTAAATTTTATCATACATATGCTCAAATCATATAAGAAACTTCTTTAAATCATAATTGAGCCTTATTTGCAAGCATGTTCAAAATTTATTTGAACTTTCTTTATCAAGCTTGAACTTGCTCAAACATTGTGCATAACATAATGGAATATTACTTTAAGATTATTGAACATTGTTGAATTGAAAAAAAAAAATTATTATGTTTGAATTTTGTTCAAGAATGGTTTGAATCATATTCAATTAATATGGTTCAAACATTATCTGCACAAGTGTTCAGTCCATGTATTAACATGATTTGAACCATTTTAGAATATATTTTAAGTAAATTTTGAACATACTTTAATCTTGGTTCAAACATTATTTGAACTTTTGTTTATATAATATTGATGTTATATGCTAAATAATTTGTTTACAAAGTTAGATCAAGTATCAAAATTCTTCTATTGTATGAAAAAGAATAAAAATTATAGACAATTATTGAAAATGATGCGAGTGATTGATGAAATAAAAAAAGTATATCATTTAAGGATATTGTAAAATCTGATATACAAAGTGACAAAAATTTAATAAGAGCCAATTTAATCCAAAATTTAAGGTTATGTACAACTTTGATTAAGAAAAATCAATAACATCAAGTTCTCTAATCAAACTAATAATAGATTCCAATATATCATGCATTTTCTTGAATTTGATATCCATGTACATTTAGCATATATCATTCATTTTCTTGAATTTGATATCCATGTACATTTAGCACTAATCTTCAGTATGTGTATCTATTGCTTCCGAAAAAATTTCAAATAAAATTTTGTGTGCAAAGAAGAATGATGTAGGATGAGCTAGTTCATTATCTTATATTGGTGTAAGTGATGTAAATAGATCACATGTAAAAGTTGGGTGGAACTTTAGGCATACTGCAAATAAAATTAGGGAATGTTATAAACAAACAAGTTATGAAACATAGTGGCTCCTTGATGCTTTAATACATGATATGCCATCAAAAGTTTTCATCATCTAGCTTGAATCTCGTGACTTGGCTTGAATCCTGATGTAACTTTTTGAGCAATAAAAGTACAAACTTTAATTAAAAATTATTCAAAACTTTAATTTTAGCAAAATTATAGTCAGATTAACCGACACGATGAGATGGGCCCAATAATACAAAAATTGGTCAAATTCATATCAAATCAAGCCCAAATCAAGCTATTAAATCACTTTTAAAAGTTTTTCAGTGCATAATTAGATGTTCAAAGAAAGTCCAAATTTATTAAGTTTATAGTCAAATCGAGTGTCTCAACGAGATGAATTCAACGAGTTCAAGATCACTCAATTCTGACATCATTACAACACTCAAATATTCACAGAATATTAACCAATTAAGGGAATCTCTCTGATTCGTTAGATAGACGTTGTCTGAATTCCTTCTTTATTTGCAGAGAAACCTCTCATAAATTCTATGCCAACCCCCCTCTTTATTGGGGACCTAGATCTTGCGTTAGGGGAAGACTAAAGCTTGGAGGAGGAGCTGAAGTTCAGAATCACTTCTGGACTACATATCTGATTATTACATTTCACTATTGCAGCTGCCAACAACTGTCAACCACCAATTTCTGACCACTGTCAGTTGCCCTCTACTCATTGCAATGAAGCTATAGGCAGAGTCAAGAGTTGTGTTGCAAGCGACATAGCCCTGTGGGAAGAAAAAACTGGCATCACTGAGTTATAAAGCACCTTCAAAGTAGTGCATCATCTTAAACGTTGCGCTAATCTAGAATATGGTTTTTGAAAGCTCCACAAATTACTCCCTGCTATGACCACTCTTTAGTGTGGAGCAACAATCTCTTCTATGTACTATGTTACTGGATCATTTCAACTAGGCCATGCTTTATGATTTTTTTTCATTTTTTTCATGTAAGAAAATATGACATTTCTACATAACTGTTTTTCTCGGTTCTTTTTAGATCTCGGAGTCGCCAGCTTGTCGATTTATGTGTCATCATATAATTTTTCTATTCGAATAAGTCTCCCTCCCGAATCAAATGAATGACTCGAAGAGGAGAGAAATCGAATAGCAAAATAACATACGACAATAAATAGACAAACAAATCAAAAAGAATAGAGACGGAAAGCTTATATATGGGTAATCCTCGTGTGATGGGTCGAGAGTATACACCCAAACAAAAGTGGATCGAAGTACCCCGGAAAACAACATCCACAAGCAAATTCTCTATATAAGCCACCCGTAACCAGAGAACCAAAAAAAATATTTTTTTTTGTTCTGAGGTCAAAAGTCTCCCAGAGGAACGTATTCCTTCTGGTTAATTACATCTTGGGGAATACCCAAGAAGACTCTCGATGAAAGGAGTTTCGTTTTATTATCATAATTCTAGGGCATAGGTCATCAAAAGATGATTATTTTGTACGGAACGGTCCTAATGCTTTGAAGCTCACGCAAAGCCATCAGACAAAGAGTAAATCTCTCACATCCAAATGGATAGCGGCTCCTCAGCACACAATACCTACAAAATAATCATAAATCACTTGACGGGGGTATCCCGATACGTCACAGTACATTCGGCTCGTAAGGGAAGAGGACAAATTGTCGTATCCCAAATGGGCGGCAGCTTATCGGCATCGGGTCGTCAAAGTGATATCAACGAAGTCAAAAGAGTCGGGTCGTAAGGGAAGAGGACAAATCGTCGTATCCCAAACGGGAGGCAGCTTATCGGCATCGGGTCGTCAAAGTGATATCAACGAAGTCAAAAGAGCAGAGAAGGCTCAACAGGGATAGTAAAAGGTGGGGAGAAGTAGTCCTAAGAGGTAGAGGTAGCCAGGTTGGGGTACCACAGACCCGTCATCCCAAGCCACTAGGACCTTAAGTCTACTTGGTTGTGAAGGCAGTCGACCCAGCATGTCCGGAGATCCTCGAGCATCAACCTATGAAGCGATCCGTGAATCACGTCATCTGTGGGGACCTCGATAGCCCTAAGGTCGAAGGAATGAAACTTTATCCTATCACTAGAAGCTAGAGCTCCGAGAGGTGGGATATTACCTGCCGAAGTGGTGAAGAAGCCTCAAGAAAGAAGGAAAAGGGAGGTTTAGTTACAAAGCTAGAAACACTCAAACAAGAGGACTTATATCCCGTCTGGATCGGGGTGTCTTCTAACACCTTAAGCATGCTAGACAACCACCTAAACGAGATTATGTTGGGTCAGTCGGATTGGAAAAGCACGGGGCTACTCCTCGAAACATTCTAATTCTTTTTACCTAAAAATCCTAATAATAAAAATTAAGATAATCAAAATTTTTAGGGTTAAAACTTTCAAGCTTTTCTTAAATAATTTTTTTACCTTTTGCATGGCTT